TTCATATTTATTCTATGAAGAACATATTTATTCCAAAAGAACATGGAAGTAGCCTCCAAAAATGCAAAACATGAATGATGGCTCTTTTTATTCTATAATGTAGAATTTGACCATCTTCCCTCAAGATTAAAATTAAAAACAAAAGTCTTTTCATTTGGCTGTCTTTGTGGTAAGACCTAACACAGCCTTGTGCCCTGTGCTGAGCCTATTTTTTGCTCTAAAGCTGATAAATCTAGGGACTATGAGGCGGTGCTAGACAAGTAGTTATGAGTGAGTATAATTGGAAGGAGAAAGAAAAACTCTCTTATGTCACAGATGATATGGTCTATAAAAGCATATCTTGGTGACTGGAAGTCAAGTATGGGTCTAGGGAATAGAACATGATCTACTTGTTTCCAACACCTTCTTTGGAACTGCTTAGCCCAAATCTAGAGTTAAGGTAGCTGCCATGTTTTATATCATGTGACTTCTTTCCACCAGAGCAGAATTGTCATGCAGGAGCAGCTCAGATGGAGAATGGTGCAGATTCTCTCAGACTCTAACTCAGAAATACTAGGGGAATCAGATATTTGGCAACGGAAACCCCCTTGAAATATTGTAGGCACTTCCAGAGCAGACGCACAGAGAAGAGGAAATCCTGAGGGAAGAGGGAAGAGGGAAGAGAGCAAAGAAAAAAAAAATGCCTTACAGTCTCTGGAACAGAGTTGGCTCTCCGTAACCTCAGGTTCTTAAACTCAGGTGTATTTGAATCACTTTAGCATGATTCTTGGCAGGCTCTGATTCAGCAGGTCTGGAGTTCAGGGCCTCAGATTTCTTTTTTTCTTTCTTTCTTTCTTTTTTAAATATATATTTTTTAGTTGCCAATGGACCTTTGTTTTATTTACTTAGATGCGGTGCTGTGAATCAAACCCAGTGCCTCACACATGCTATGCAAGCCTCTATCACTGAGCTACAACCTCAACCCCCAGATTCATTTCTAATAAACTCATTGGCAAGGCAGCTGCAGCTCATCAGAGTACCACAATTTGAGTAGCAAGTTCTAAGCCACTTATCTTTTCAGTGGTGGGAAAATGCCCCCTTCTTTGAGGAAATTGAGGGCACCAATATTTCTTGCTAAAACCAGTAACTGGGTAGGGTGAGGCAGGAGCCTGTCTTAATTGATGGCCACATCACCACCCAGAGCAAATCATGCTTGTCCACCCTCATGAGCTCTCTGAACTCCTTGGCCAGGACTGAATACAAATGAAAACATGGAGCTACTTAACCAAAAATTATCAAGAATTTCAAGATGGTAATAGCATTCACCCAAGTGTAGGGCTTTCTGAGCTACAGGCCTATGAAAACCTTGTCTGTTTTCATTTGAGATTACTGAGAATACCCTGTTGTATTAGACTCCATCTTCCTAGTTTATTAGCTCTGGAGTCTCCATTGCTGGTTTTGAAGCATGATCATGTTAGGAAGTCCATATGGCAAGTTGCTAAGGCTAGCCTCCAGCCAACAGACAGTAGGCAACTTCAGTACTGCAAAGAAATAAAATATGTCAACAATCTGAGAGAGTTTAGGGATGAATCTTTTTGCAGTTGAGCCTTGGATGGTGGGAGGGGATAGGCAGCTCTTTTTAATCTCATGAATTTGGGGGGTCTGGCCCCTTTATTGCAGCCTTGCAGAAGAACCAGTTAAATTATACCCAGAACTCTGACCCAAAGAAAGTGTGAAATAATAAATATATGTTGTTGTTATTATTATTTTGGTACCAGGGATTGAACCCAGGGGCACTTAACCACTAAGTGACTTCCCCAGCTCTTATTTTTTATTTTGAAACATGATATCCCCAAGATGCTTAAGGCCTTGCTAAGCTGCTGAGGCTGGCTTTGAATTTATGATCCTCCTGCCTCAGCATCCTGAGCTGCTGGGATTAGCCAGGCATACACCACTGCACCTGGCTAAATGTATGTATCTTAAGCCACTAAGTTTGTGATAATTTTTTATGTTGCAATAGATAAGTACTACAGAAGGTCTTTTCAAGTGTCCCAAAGGTGGTTTGTGGGTCATCTGATTGCCTTTACTCTCATTCTACCTACCCAGAGTCCTCCAGTTTTCTGGGAGACTGCACTGCTGAGAGGGTGCTACTTAGTTTGGGTTATACTGAGCAATTGTTAACAGTATCCTGTCTAAATGGCTTCCCCCCCCCCTATAAATTAGTAAATCTGTGTCATATGAGTTGATTTCAGTCTAGTCCTAAGATCATGATCAATCCTGAAAGTTGAACTAAATTAGGTTTTGGATTTGGAAGACTGGTTCTACTCTAGACAAGGATCCAAATAGCTCTTTCCTGGAGCACTTACTAGAGACACTGAGAGGTGAAGATAAGGAAAATATTGTTTTCTCTGAGTATCTAGCTCTTTTAAAAACCTTAACATGAAAACCAAAATTTCTCATTTTAAACTTTTTTTCACTTAAAAATTGTTATTACTGCTGGGTGCAATGGTGTGCACATTTTTATCCCAGCTTCTCAGGAGATCAAGGCCAGAAGAATCACAAGATGAAGGTGCACCTGAGCAACTTAGGGAGACCCTGTCTCAAAACAAACAAGACTGGGGATATAGCTCTGTTGTTGAGTACTTCTGGGTTCAATCCCCAGTACCACCTCCTCCCATTATTACCAACATTCATTTTCTTTATAGAAATCTTCCTTACTATGTAGAAAATGTCATGCTCCTCCTGATGTGTTTTTAGTTGGACATTTTTAAGAAGATAACATCTATAACACTGATGTCATTTGGCTACCTGGGTAGCAGGCCCCAAGGGTACTTGGGTGGCAATGGGTAGGACTGAGGTTGGGACTCAACAATTAAGTCCAGTGTCCTGAACTTGCAAAGGTACTGGAGGGCTTTAGCCTCCCCATCACTCTATAGTTGGAGAAACTGAGACTGAGAGAGGGGGAAAAAAGAAATCCAGGGTTATGGTTTGAATATTGTTGTCTCCTCCAAATTAATGTGGAGACCTAAGGTATTGGGGGGCTTCTGGGAAGTGATTAAGTCAAGGCCCCCCTTTCATGAGTGGAATTTGTGCCTTTATAAAAGAGGTTAAAAGGAGCTGCTTTGCTCCTCCCCCCATATGAGGACACAGAAATGAGGTACCATTTTTGAAGCAGAGATCCGAGCATTCATCAGACAATGAATCTGCTGGAACTTTGATTTTGGACTTACTAGTCCCCAAAACTTCGAGCAGCAAATTTCTATTATTTACAAATTACCCAGGCTAGAGTATTTTGTTATGGCAGTGAAGGCAGAATTAAAGACAGGCAGTCGGTGTATGTAGGTAACTCGGGTCAGATTGAGAGAATGAAGGCCAATTTGGGTCCAGGAAGTTGGGGACCACCCTGGGAGATTGAAATGTTAATGTCCTCAGAACCTTGCCTGTATTGCCCCTCCCCAAGAGTTATTAATGAAGCAAATTCTGAGCAGAGAGGGAGCTGTTAATCAATGCACCCTGGGCCCCTTTCCTGCCCTGATCATTCCACTTTGGCCCCTCTAGCTCATCTGCTTCTCACTTTTTGGCCATCCCACTGGGCCATCTCCTGGGCCTAGTGAGGTATGCAGGAAGGAGAGCGATAAGGAGGAGGAAGGCAGGAGAACAAAGGAAGTCTAGAATAATATTGAATATGAAAATAAAAATCACAAGATAGTGAGGCCTGGAAGAAGGAACTAGAAAAGAAAGCCATCAAAGTATGGCTTTCTTCTCTCTCAAGATAACTCCTTCCCAGCTGCTGACCACAGGTGGGGAGAAAGTGTCTCATTTAATCTAGAAGTGATAATCTCTAGGAAACATTAATCTCTTCCAAGATAACTCCTCTCAGGGTCCTGGCCACTGACCTCCAGCCCAAGAACTGAATTCTGAATGCTCAGACTGACACCCTCACTAAATCACCCACAACCTATAAAGCCCAGTTCCTCCTTTGTCCAAATGGCTCATTTTCCACCAGGAAAGTAGGTCATTCCTGTAGGTGTAGTGTAATCCCATTCCTGAATAAAGGCTGAAATGATCTTTGATGATTGCATCCAGCCCAGTCTCTTTGTTCTTACAATACATAAAAGAGGCAGAACACCCTCACTTCTTAGGATTCCAGGATACCAGCAATGGCCCCCCCCTTCCCACTCCTGGGAGAAGCTGTGTTACTCCTTTTTTTTTTTTTTTAATAACTTTATTTTATTTATTTATTTAATGTGGTGCTGAGGATAGAACCCAGGGCTTTACACGGGCTAGGCGTGCGCTCTACTGCTGAGCCATAACCCCAGCCCCTGTGTATTTTTAAATAAACCCTGCTTTATATGTTTGCCTCCTCGTGCTTCTCTAGTGTTATGCTTCTACATGTGAGGAAACAGAACTCTAATAACCAGCCGTATCAGCAGCTTAAACAGGACTAGGACACTCAGGAATGTGATTGAGGGAAGTGCTTTAGCACAGGAACACACAATCAAATTTCAAGACGTGCAATTCAAATGAGGCAAGTGACCACAAAATGCTGAATACAAGCCTGAAGCTTTGCCACTTCCTGGCACCAGGATTGCTAGTGTTGTTCTAAGAAAATGGAGTCTGGAGACTGACTTTCTGGATCTATCATCACGCAATGCCTCGGTTTTCCCATCTTGGACACGGGGATGATAGGAAAATTCTGAAACACACTACAACAGGATGCACTTTGAAGACATTATGCTAAGTCAAATAAACCGGTCACAGAAGAACTGAAACTGGGACCTCCTCGTGCCTCCCTCGCCGGCTCCAGCGCATCTATCTGGTCTGAGTTCCTGGAGCACCAACCTCTAGGACACGCCTCCCTCAACCACGCCCCCACCCTCTCGCTCCACTCACCCCTGCCAGGCTCAGCTGCTAAGGCAAAGTGCCCCAGCGCTGGAGCCGCCCAACACGGACTGGTTAAACATCTATCGTCAACGTTTTTGCTGTGTCTGGGACTTGCAAGTCTGGTCATCGCCGCCGCCGCCATGGGCCTGGAGCTCTACCTGGACCTGCTGTCCCAGCCCTGCCGCGCTGTGTACATCTTCGCTAAGAAGAACGGCATCCCCTTCCAGCTGCGCACCGTGGAGCTGCTCAAGGGTGGGCCCGGGTCTGGGGTTTTGGGAACTGAGAGATAGGGAAGGGTCACTCTGGGAGGCACAAAAGCTTAGGGCCACTTCCCATGCCACCCACTTTCTGGGGACATCGCTGATCTGGCTTTGGAAATCTTGTGAGAAAGGAGAACCAGCAAGGAGATCCAAGATTTGGGACTCCCCTAAATTCTGCTGTCCCATGGAATAGACAATAGGGGCTCTGCTGAAGCCAAATGATAGGGTGAGGAGTTGAAAGGCCTGGCGCCCATGAAATAGGTGTGACCTGGGCCTTAAGATAGACGACCTCCAGAAAATAGATGGTTGAGAGAGGAGAGGGGTTAGGGAACCAAATGTAGTTAGGTCCCTCCCTTGTGGTCCCCAGTCCTGAGACTGACAACAACACAAAGAGGAGGCATTGCTTTGGGAACTTCTCTTTCCAGCTCTGTCCTTTACACTGTCCCACAGTGTATTGGGGTCCCTTTGGTCCCTTCCTTCTTCTGCTCCTCCTGTTTTGCCTTACTTATCTTGTCCTCTGCCTCCCTTTCCTGCTGCCAAGGGAGACTGCCCCCATGGGGTGTTCTGGGAGAAGGACCCCCCCCCCTTGGTGAAACCTGCAGCCTGAGCAGGGGTGATTGTTTCTCTTACAGACCTGTAGGGGATCCTCAAGGATAGCTGACAGACTCAGGCTCAAATCTGGCAGAGGTGGGGTGCTAAGAGGAGGAGGCTGCAGAATATAGGTGGTGTTGGGTGGTCAAGCAGGGTGACTCTATTTGGCTCAGCTTTCTGGCTGAGTTCTCCCAACACCAGGTGCCCCTCTTTTGGCCTTTGTGCCTTTTCAAGCCTGGCCCTCTGCCTGAAACTTCACCTCTACCCAACCTCCTCTGGGGATTGCCCACTTGCCTTATTCAGGGACTGCCTTTACAGAGTATAGGGCAGAGGAAAGGGCATGGTGGACAAGGGGATGTCAAGTTGGCTGTCAATTATAGAGGTGCAGAGGGAGAGGTGCCTTTTCCACCAGAAAAGGAGGGGAGGATGCCTTTAGTGGAGGAACAGTCTGAAGGAAAGAGGGTAGCCTCAAGGGTGGAGGGAAAAGATGATCCAGTGTAGCTTTGAGGAGATTCCACTTGATCCAGGGTTAATGGTGAACCACTGAGGGCCATGGGGCAGAGCAGCAATAGACTTAAGTGATCTTAGAAGCTTTTCTGAGAGTGTCTGAAGGAGCAGAAACCATTAAAACAAGCTCAATGCAGAGACCAGGTTCTCAAGGGACACTGGGTCATACCTTGCAGGAGTTGTGGGTAGGGCAGGAAATTAGATTGTCCCAGCTTCACCAGAACCTGAAAGCAGGGCCAGCTCTGTAGTCCTAGAGCCTAGGTCAAGGGGAGCAAGGGAACATAGATGGGCAATAAAGGTTGATAACAAGTAAATAGATAGCAGAGAAAAGCCAATTTTTTAAAGTGTTTTGTCAGACTATGGGGTACAGGTGCTGTTGGAAGTTAGAGATCCACTCAGGTGACCTGCCCTTGCAGCTTAGGGACACTCTAAGCATGAGTTTATGAAGCTGGCAATGGTGAAAAGAGGAGGCCTAAACATTATGCCCTGCACATTGAGCTCTGTTGTGGGGGTGGAGAGGGGTTGGACAGGGGTAGTGCCCGTGAGGACTTGTCAAAGGATGTCAAGGTATATTTTGTTCCAGCTGCTGGAACAACCACCCCCCTCCTTCCACTGAAGCCCCCCACCAGTTTGTCCCATTCAGGAAAGCAGACCAGTGGGGAAAAGAACCATGAAATTGGGCCTGAGCATCATAGGGAGTGGGCCCAGTCTACATGGAAGGCTCAGCCTTCTCTTCCCACCCCTGTCATAATGGGCTCTCCACAGGCCAGCACCTCAGTGATGCCTTTGTCCAGGTGAACCCACTGAAGAAGGTACCAGCCTTGAAGGATGGGGACTTCATCTTGACTGAGAGGTAATTGGGAACCTGGGGCTTCTGCCAGGCCTTAGCAGAACATCCTGTCCTAACCCATAGATAGTTATAGACAAGGAAACTAAAGAACTTAGAGATGAAGGGTTCCTTTGCCCCCATATCCCACAGAGAGTTGGGATTGGAAGCCAGACCCCTCCCTACCTGTCTTCTTTTCCAGTTGGAAAACCAGGTACCTACTTTACTTCTGTTCCTGTCTCTTATTTGTTGACAGGAGTATCCCTGGGACAGAGATTTGGGGCAGGAGTGGATGACATTTCACCCACCATGGGGGCATCCCTCTGGCAATCTTAGATCAGGATGGCCTGGTGGTATCTGGATTACCCAGTGTCTCCATCTCTGGAGCCACTGTAGCTTCCCTATAGGTCTCCCTTCTGGGAGACCCTCTATACATGTGGATGTTTTATATCACAGCAAATCCCAAGAAGTTGAAATCTCCCTCTTTAGGAAATGCCAAGCCTTTTCCCAGTTCTGCCCTTTTGTCACATGAGTCACTTTTTCCAAAGCAAGGAGAACCTAGAATTTTGAGATTTCAGAATCTCTGAAATTTTGAGATGCATGCACCCCAGTGAATTCCTCTGGCTTTCTCCCAGCACCATTCTTTCCTTTCTGCTGCCCCCTAGTATCCTGAGTCCTTGTGTCAGCTCAGAGTTGAACACCCTTGTGTACCAGCCAGGAGCAGAGAGCAACTTCTCCATTTCTCTTCTTTCACCCTGGAGAGGTCCATACTAATAGGGACCCACTCAGAGGTGCCTTGAACAATTATCTGGGAGCAGAAGAAGCACCAAAGAATCTTGCTCAGAAAAACTGAGGCAGTAAGCTTGGGTGTGGATGCAGGAATCTTAATAGGGAACATGAGCCAGTGGCAGATACAGAGATTTTCTTACTTTTGGGTTGTGATACCCAATCATTGGGTTACACCAAGTTCCTGAAAACTTTCCTATAGCCCCAGTGAATACATTTTCAATGTCCTTTAAGGATCATCCCCATCCCCATGCCATGACAGCCCTCATAAACCAGGGTTAGAGAAAAAAACTAGAGGCCATGCCTGTTCTGTTGTTCTAGGATTCTGAGCACCCAATGTTTCCTGAGTAAGGTTTTGTTTTTTATTTTGGTACCAGGGATTGAACCCAGGGGCACTTAACCATTGAGCCACATCTCCAACCCTTTTTATTTTTTGAGACAGGTCTTGCTAAGTTGCTTAGGGCCTTGCTTAGTTACTGAGCTAGCTTTGAACTTATGATCCTCCTGCCTCAGCCTCCTGATCCACTGTGATTATAGGCATGCGCCATAATGGCCATCCTGAGTAAGGTTTTAAGGAGCTGAGCCACGGTGGTTGGTTTAGATAGAAGCTGATTCTTAACAGAAAGAATGACATAGAGAATAGAGGGATGATGATGTTCTTTTTGAACGATCAGGTAATCTGAGGCTGGTCTGAATGACAATGAATGAGAGTATACACAAACCAGAAAGGACTGAGTTTCCTCAAGGCTCATTTAGATGCCACCCCTCTAGGAAACTCTCTCTGATCCTCTGATCAAAAACTGTCTCTGAACCCTTAAAGGGATACTCTGTTGTGAGATTTTCCCTGGTGGTAGGAAAAAGTTGGGTATTAGCCCGAGAAAGACTCCCAGCTTTGCCAATAAGAGCTGTATGCCCTGAGGCAAGTCTTCACCTTTCTAAGCCTGCCTTCCTTCTCTGGAAAATAAGGCTTAACAGATTGTCAGGAAGATCAAAGAAGGTACTGGGTATTAAGTCCCTAACATAGTGCATTTCCCCCACCCATTTATATACCCCCCCATGCCCACAGTGTGGCGATCCTGCTCTATCTGACACACAAGTACAAGGTCCCTGACCACTGGTACCCTCAGGACCTGCAGACCCGCGCCCGTGTAGATGAGTATCTGGCATGGCAGCACACAACTCTGCGGAGAAATTGCCTACGGGCCCTGTGGCATAAGGTGAGGCTGGAAGGTTGGGGGATGGGGGGATAGTTAGGACCTTATCCCAAAGGGATTTGGGCAACTATCCAATTCACTTCAGTTAGGGTATTTCCTACAGTCCTGTTTTCACTTCACTAATTATTTCTTCTGTTTTACTCAGATAGCTGTTAAGCCCATATGGTATACTTTATTTAGGATATGTAGATTCATTTCTAGAAATTTTATTTGGCTTTTTTTTTTTTTTTTTTTAGTTTCCATTTCTCTGCTAAATTTACCATCTGTTCACCCAGGCTTCATTAATCTTTTTTTACTTTTTTAACATATTATCATTGTTACTTAAAACTCTTTACCAGGTACTGTGGTGCATGCCTGTAATACTAGGTGCTCAGGAGGCTAAGGCAGGGGGATCGTGAGTTCAAAGCCAGCCTCAGCAATTTAGTGATACCCTAAGACACTTAACAAGAACCTGTCTCAAAATAAAATATAAAAAAAGGCTGTGTATGTGACTCAGTGGTTAAGTGCCCCTGGGTTCAATCCCTGGTACAAAAAAAGAAAGGAAGAAAGAAAAAAGTCAGCTAATTTCAACACCTCAGTCCACTGATTTTTTCCCCCCTCTTGATTATGGATCACAAATTCCTGCTTCTTTATATGTTTCATAAGATACTATTGAATGCCAAATATTATATATAAAATAAAAATAGAGATTGAAGTATATAATAAACACTCCCAGGAAGGGATTGTACTTTCGTCAGGTATCCAGGGCACAAGGCTTATCTTCCAGCTAATAAGGAGGTGGGTTGGGTTGTGGCTTCAGGTAGTTTCAGTTTGTCTCTTGTTTCAAATACAGATAGTCCCCAACTTACAGTGGTTCATTTTATAATTTTTCAACTTTAGGATGGTCCATTCAGTAAAGACCATACTTTGAATTTTTATCTTTTTTTCTGGCTACTGATATGCCATATGATATGCTCCCTGATGTTAGGCAGCAGAAGCAGGCCATAGCTCTGGTGTACTTAGTAACAGTGTTACTAAGCTATAATGTTTAGTACATTAGCTATATTAAATGCTTTTTGGACTTATGATGTTTTCAAATTAATGATGGGTTTATTGGGACCTACCCCTATCATAAATGAAGAAACACTATATTTTGAAGGTGGGACTGTGACACTGGTTCACTTCAGCAGGGCTCTGGAATCTAAGCACAGAAGATAGAGTGATAGGTGATTTCCAGGGGCTTGGGGAAGAGGTGAATGAGGAGTTATGATTAATAGGTACAGAGATGAATTTTTGCAAGATAAAAAGAGCTCTGGAGGGGCTGGGATTGTGACTCAGAAGTAGAGTGCTTGTCTAGCATGCGTGAGGCACTGGGTTCAATCCTCAGTACCACATATAAGTAAAATAAGGTATTATGTCCACCTACAACTAAACAATAAATATTTTAAAAAAGAGTTCTGGAGATGGCTCCACAACAATGTAGATCTACTTAAACTATGTACACTAAACTATATACTTTGAAATACACCCTGTGAAAGTTGCTGATACCAAAATGGAGTCACTTATGTCAAACTCCAACAAAATGCAGATGAGGAAGGTCATGTAAAAAGAGCTTTCATGAATACATGCTTGTAACCGGTTGTATCACAAGACATTCTTTTTTAAAAAAAAAAAATTGTAGTTATGGATAGAGACAGACTGCCTTTATTATATTTGTTTATTTTTTTAATGTAGTGCTAAGGATCGAACCCAGTGCCTCACATGTGCTAGGCAAACACTCTGCCATTGAGTCACAGCCCCAGCTCCAACATTCTTCTCCCCTACACACTTTCCACATTTTTGTTGATGCATTATAGTTGTACATAATGATAGAATCTGTTGTTATATATTTGTGTGTGCACACAATATTACATTATAATTTGGCCAATATCATTCCCCAGCCCTTCCCCACTCCCTCTGATCCCTGATTCCTTCCTCTACTGATCTCCCTTTGATTTTCAAGAGATCCACTCCCCACCTTTCTTTTCCTTTTTCATATCTAGTTTTTTTTTTTTTAATGTAGTGCTGAGGATTGAACCCAGGGTCTTGCACGTGCGAGGCGAGTGTTCTACTGCTGAGCCACAACCCCAGCACTGCCCCCCCCCAGATTGGTTTATTTTGTTTAACATAATGAATGGTCTAGTTTCATAGATTTTCCTGCAAATGACACAATTTTATTTTTCTACTGAATAAAACTCCATTGTGTATGTATACCACATTTTCTTTATGCATTCATCCACTGATGGATATCTAGGCTGGTTCCATAGTTTGGCTATTGTGGATTGCGCTGGGTATGTATGTATCATTGTAGTATGATGACTTTAATTCTTTAGGATAAATACTAATGAGTGGTATAGCTGGGTTGTATGATGATTCCATACCTAGTCTTTTGAAGAATCTCCATACTGATTTCCACAGTGGTTGTACTAATTCGCAATGCCACCAACAGTGTAAAAGTGTTCACTTTCTCCACATCCTCAACAGAATTTATTATTATTTGTATTCTTTTTTGGTTTTGGCACTTTTGTCTAGTATCAGATACCTGTATTTATGTGGGTTTGTCTCTGTGTCTGTTTTGGTGCCAGTACCATGCTGTTTTTTGTTACTCTAGCTCTGTAGTATAATTTGAGTCCCAGTGTTGTGATGCCTTCAGGATTGCTCTCTTTTGCTCAGAATTTCAGAATTCCTTTGGCTATTCTAGGCCTCTTATTTTTCCAAATGAATTTTAGAATGGCTTTTTCTAGTTCTGTGGAGAATGTCATTGGTATTTTGGTAGGGATTACATTGAATCTGTAAAACAGATTTTGATAGCATGGCCATTTGTACAATATTAAGTCTGCCTATCCAAGAACATGGGAGGTTTTCCTATCTTCTACGGTCTTCTTCAGTTTCTTTCTTTGGTGTTCTATAGTTTTCATTGTAGAGGTCCTTCACCTCTTTGTTAGATTAATTCCAAGTCTTTTGTTTTTGTTTTTGTTTTTGTTTTTTTTTGAGGTTATTGTGAATGGAATAGTTTTTCTAATTTCATTTTTAGCAGATTCATTTTTAAAAATATTTTTTATATGGTGCTGAGGATCAAACCCAGTGCTGGGAGACATTGATTTTTATGGCAAATTATTACTTTGCTAAATTTGTTTATTGGGTCTAGAAGTCCTCTGGTAGAGAATTTTTGGTCTTCTCAATATAGGATCATGTGGAAATAAATAGAAATAATTTTAAAAAGAAATAATTTGAGCTTTTTTTAAAAAAATGTTTTTAGTTGTAGTTGGACACAATACCTTTATTTTATTTTTATGTGGTGCTGAGGATTGAGCACTCTACTACTGAGCCACAACCCTAGCCCTGAGATTTTCTTTTCCTATTTATATTCCTTTAATTTCCTTTTTTTTTTTTTTGCCTGATTTTTCTGGCTAGAGTTTCAAGGACTATGCTGAAAAGGAATGGTGAGAGTGGGCATCTTTGTCTTGTTACAGTTTTTAGAAATGCTTTCTTTCATTGCTTTTCAATTTTTAGGAAATGCTTTCACTTTTTCTCAGTTCACTATTATGTTGGCCTTGGGTTTGTCATATATATCCTTTACAGTGTTGAGGTAAGTTCCTTCTGTTCCTATTTCCTCTAGTGCTTTAAACATGAATGGGTGCTGTACTTTGTCAACTGCTTTTTCTGCATCCATTGAGATAATCATGTGATTCTTATTATGAACTCTATGGGTAAACTAAATTTATTGATTTTTATATGTTGAACAAATCTTGCATCCCTGGGATGAAACCCACTTGATCATGATGCACTATCTTTTAAATGTGTTTTTGTTTATGGTTTGCTAATATTTTTGCATCTATTTTTATCAAGGATGTTGCCCTAAAGTTCTCTTTCCTTGATGGGTCTTTATCTGGTGTTGGTATCAAGGTGATATTGGCTTTGTTGAATGAATTGGAAGTGTTCCCTCCGTTTCTATTTCATGGAATGATTTGGGGAAGATTGATATTAGTATATTATATTCTTTGATGGACTGGGAACACTTGGCTGAGAATCCATGTGATCCTAGATTTTACTTTGTTGGAAGATTTTTGATAGTTGCTTCCATTTCATTACTTGATATTGATCTGTTTAAGTTTTCTATATCTTCATGGTTCATTTTGGGTAGCTCATATTTTTTGTCTAGGAATTTCTCAATATCTTCCAGATATTCTAGCTTTTTTGAGTGTAAATTTTCAAAATAGTGATTTTTTTTACCTCGAATTTTGTTCATTTCAGTCTTCTTTCTCTTTCTTTTGGTTAATTTGGCTAAGGGTGTATCAATTTTGTTTATCCTTTCAAAATACTAACTCTTCATTAATCCTTTATTTTTTTATTCTTAATTTCATTAATTGTGGTTCTGATTTTAATTATTTCCTGTCTTCTACTGATTTTGGTGTTGAAATTAAGTATTTCTAGGGGAGGGGAGGGGGGATAGTAGAGGATAGGAAAGGCAGCAGAACACAACAGACACTAGTATGGCAATATGTAAATCAATGGATGTGTAACTGATGTAATTCTGCAATCTGTATATGGGGTAAAAATGGGAGTTCATAACCCACTTGAATCAAAGTGTGAAATATGATATATCAAGAAATTTGTAATGTTTTGAACAACCAACAATAAAAAATTAAAATAAAATAAAATAAAATAAAAAAGAAATTAAGTATTTCTTAATTTATCCCCTGATTTCTTCTGCTACCTATTAATCATTCAAAAATGTATTATTTAATCTGCAGATGTTAGAGTGGTTTCTGTTTTTTATCTTGTCACTGACTTCTAATTTCATTCCATTATGATCTGATAGGATGCAAGGAATCTCTGTTTTTTTGTATTTGCTAAGATTTGCTTTGTGACCTAAAATATGATCCATTTTAGAAAATGTTCCATGTGCTGCTGAGAAGAAAGTAAATTGAGTCATTGGTGGATGAAATATTCTATAGATGTCTGTGAGGTTCCATTTGATTGATAGTATTTTTTAGTTCTGAAGAATGTTTATTTAGTTTATGTCTGGATGATCTATTTAATGGTAAGAGAGGTGTGTTGAAGTCACCCAGTATTCTCATATGGTTATATGATATCATTATATTATCGTATAATCATATTTGATTATTACTATTTAGAAGCATTTGTTTTTAGTATGTAGATGCACCATTGTTTTGGTGCATACATATTCATAATCATTATGTCTTGTTTTTTTAAAAAATATATTTTTTAGTTGTAGATGGACACACAGTATCTTTGTTTATTTTTATGTGATGCTGAGGATCAAACCCAGTACCTCACACATGCAAGGCAAACACTTTACCACTGAGCTTCAGCTACAGCCCATGTCTTGTTTTTTGATGATTCCCTTAACCAGTATGAAGTCACCTTCATTATCTCTTCTGATTAATTTTGGCTTGAAGTCCACTTTGTCTGATATGAGAATAACTACCCCTTTTCTTTACAAGTACCATTTGCATGGTATAGCTTTTCCCATCCTTTCACCTTCAATTTGAAGATGTCTTTGTCTCTAAGTTGTGTTTCTTGAAAACAATATATTGTTGGGTCTTGTTTTTTGTATGTATGTATGTATGTATGTATATATGTACGTATTTATTTATTTATTTATTTATTGAGACTGAGGTACTTAACCACTGAGCCACAACCCTAGTCTCTCCACACACACACACACACACACACACTCCCCCCCCCCCCCCCCCCGCGCCTTGTTTTTTGGAGACAGGATCTCACTAAGTTGCTTAGGGCCTCACTAAATTGCTGAGGCTGGCCTCAAACTTTCAATCCTCCTGAGTCAGCCTCTCTAGTCACTGAGCTTGTAGGTGTGCACCACTGTGCCTGGCTTGGTCTTTTTTTTTTACCCAATCTGCCAGTCTATATCTTTTAATTGAAAAGTTTTGATCAGGTACATTCAATGTTATTATAGAGAGGTGATTTTTATCTCCTGCCATTTTGATTTATTTCTAATGGGTTTTTTTATTTTCTTTTAAATATTTTTTAGTTGTAGTTGGACACAATATCTTTATTTTATTTATTTTTATGTGGTGCTGAGGATCGAACCCAGGGCCTCACACGTGCCAGGTAAGTACCCTACTGCTGAGCCACAACCCCAGCCCCTATTTTTAATGTTTAATTCAGACTTGATTCTACTTTTTTTTTTTTGTTGTTTTGGTATTTTAGATTGAACTCAGGGGCACTCAACCACTGAGCCACATCCCTAGCTCTTTTTATATTTTTATTTAGAGACAGGGTCTCACTGAGTTGTTTAGGACCTAAATTGCTGAGGCTGGCTTTGAACTTGAGCTCTTCCTGCCTCAGCCTCCCGAGCCCCTGGGATTACAGGTGTGCACCACCATGTGCAGCTTGATTCTACTTAAAAAAAAAATTTCCACTGGTTTATTTTTCCAAATGAGCAAAAGGCTATTTACAAATAAGCAGATCTCCAATCACGTATATTAAAATGGCAAGCCTACTAAATGTTTGAAATATAAATGAAAAAAATGATTAAGGCACATTTGATCTATGAGTTAAAAACAAACATTCTGGTTTAATGATAAAGTCATTTCACTTTTGTCCCTAAAACACATGAGCACTAAAATTGTCCAAGAACACTTAATATTTAGTACAATAGGAATGTAAAAATTAACGAGGGAGAAAAGTGTCTTCAAAAGGAAATCTTTGGAGATTGGATTACTGCAAATAAAACATATCAACTACACTCCTGGTACACATAAATATTAATATTAACAGGCACTGATGAAATGGCAGAGCTCTAAACAATTGATATTAAATAAATTAAAGGTATTCAGATGCCTTGATTCTCCTTTAATTGAGTATTATTCCAGTTAATTCATCCCTATATTGGTTTTCATTTTTATTTTTCATGAAATATTGAGTTTGTTTTGTTGGTCAGCCTTTGTGGTTATGAATTCTTTTAGTTTCTGTTTATCCTGGAAGGTTTCTATTTCATATTTAATTCTAAAGGATAATTTTGCCAGGCATAGTAATCTTGGCTGGCACCCATTTTCTTTCAAAGCTTGATATATTCCAAGCCCTCCTGGCTTCTAGGGTCTGGGTTGAGAAATCAGTTGAAATTCAAACTGGTTTACTTGTACATATGATCAGTAATTTTTCTCTTGCAGCTTTTAAAATTCTGTCTTTATTCTGTATATTAGGAATTTTTATTATAATGTTTCTTAAAGTAGATCTATTATGATATGTCTTTTTGGAGTTTTATATGTCTTGAATTTCCATCTCATGACTAAGATTTGGAAAATGTTCTAATATTTTATCATTGAAAATATTGTGCATATCTTTCGTTTGTATTTCAGAGCCTCTTGTACCCTAATGATTCTTAAATTTGGTCTCTTGATGTTATCCCAGATTTTTTTTAATATTCTGGTCATGATCTTTTCTTTGTGGTCAGCTTTATTTTCAAGATTATGTGCTTTCTCTTCAAGGCCTGAAAAATCTGTCTTCAAAGTGGTCTAATCTTTCTGTTGAATTTTTAATTTGGTTTATTGAGCCTTTCATTTTTGGGATTTCTGTTTGATTATTTTTTAGGATTTCTATCTCTTCATTGGAATGATTCACTTCCTATATTTTTTATTCTTACCTCTTCTTTTAGCCACAGATTATTTTGTGAACTTCTCTCTCTTAGAAACCCTGGTTTGGGTGACTATCCAAGTATTGATACTTTAACTCAATGTGTGGCCTCTGCTGATCTCAGTACCAGCACCACTTTGAGAGAATTCACTGAATCCTACTTACCTCAATCACTTTAGAGCCAAAGCACATATTATATAACCTATGAAAATTAAAAAAAAAAAAAACTTGTTGATAGTGTTCTCCACAGTTCCTCTAATCCAGGTATAAACTTGAGGAAAGTTCTGGAGCAAGTTGAAAAATTAGTTATGTCTAGTTATTAAGTATAATAAAATTTCTATAACATTATATGAAGGCTGAAAGGGGGAAGAAGAAAGATTAGGCAAGAAAGAAAAAAAGAGGGGAGGAAAGAAAAGATAGAAAATCATAATAAAAACAAAGATTAAAATAAATATTAAAAACAAAGGAGAAAGAGGTGGATGGGGGTATTTTAGGTAGCAACAGATGGTAAGAAGAGGGAGAATAGTGAGCAAGAGAAGGAAGTATAAATTTGAACTAGGAAAATAAAGAAATAGAGAATGATTCCAATTAATGTTTTAAACCATAAGGAGAAATACACTGAAATGGGTTGAAGGTACAATGTTGGCTATTAGGGTAACAATTATCAATCAAGATAAAGAGTGATATATATGCTCAAATTTGGCATTAGAGTTATTTACAGTAAACCATGTAAAGGCAAAGAAAATTCTTGTTGAACCTTGGTTTGAATTTCATTAGGATTTCAGACATTTAGAAGATGTCCATCATCCTTTGACTTTGGATCCCTCCAATGGTTCTGGGGGCACAGGAGCCACTCCCCTAGTTGCTATGGACATCCCACCAGTGTGTTCTGGTTTATCAGGGACTTGCTGCTGATTGCTCAGAGGGTACAGAGGGTATGATGCTATGTCTGTTGGTTGTTTCTATTGTGTGCAGGAGTTTGGGAGTCAGGACTCTAGGCTGTCCCTCTGATTGCTGTGGGTCACTATGTATCCACACCCCTTTACAGGATCTTTTTCATGGTAAGGTAGAGCCTAGTGGCTCTCTGCAAGCACAGGCCCTGGGGTTGTGGATTCTCTGCAGGTGATCTGTGGTGCAGAAATATTCCCCCTGGCTAACACAGCTCACTGATGATGGATTCTTCTGTCTCAGCCACCTGTGCACTGCAGCCTCTGAAGAGGTGGCCTCCAACAAGACTGAAAAGCACCAGCTAGGTCTGTCTTGTGCTTTTGATGCAGCCAAGAGATCTAGTAAACTTGAGATGGTTGAGGCTGCTACCTGTGAAACATGGCATGCTGCTTTACAGCAAACTTCTTCTAAGTAGAAGGAGTATACGCTAAAATAATGTTAAAAAGTAGAGTATGGAAAATAGACAAACCAATAACATGGTTGTTTATTATCATATCAAGTATTATGTACAGCACATAATTGCATGTGCTATACTTTAGCATGACTGGGAATGCAGTAGATATGTTTATACCAACAGCACCACAATACATAATACTTTATATGATAATGGATGACTAAGTTACCAGTTTATGTATTTACTTTACTATACTTTTTTATCATTGTTTTAGAATATATTCCTTCTACTTATACAAAAAAAAAATGACTGTAAAATAGTTCATTGTGTTATACCAGCAGTAGCTCATCCATTTCTTGTTTACCATGTATCTTGATTTCTTCAACAGGCCATTTTGAGTGACTGACCTATGCCAATCAGGTTTAAGTACACTCTGTGATGTTTATACAATGATGAAATCTCCTAATGACGCATTTCTCAAACCATATCCCCACCATTAATCGATGCATGATTGTATATCTTAGGCTAGTTCCCTCCCCACAAAGTATTAAAACCATTGTTCAGGTCCCCATTTGAGTGGTTCTCAAAGAGGTTTGAGTAATTTTGTCTGATATCCCAAGGGCTCAGCCAGTCAGAGATCAGGGAAGCAAGAATATACCTGGGAAAAGAAATCCCTTGGAAATTTCCTTGCAGGCCTAGCTAGGTCATGGAAAAAAAGATGCATAGAACCAAAAAACAACTCCAAAGTTGGGGGTCTTGTATTCCTACAACCATGGCTAGGCTGTTCTCTAACCCCCCACTTTGCCTGCCCCCTCACCAGGTGATGCTCCCTAATTTCCTGGGCGAGCAAGTATCTCCCAAGACACTGGAAGACACAATGGCTGAATTGGATGTGACCCTGCAGTTGCTCGAGGACAAATTCCTCCAGAACAAGGACTTTATTGTCGGACCCCACATCTCCCTGGCTGATCTGGTAGCCATCACTGAACTCATGCATGTGAGTGCCATGAGTAGTGTGGGCCCACTAGATGGAGGTGCTGAAGCCCTATTTATGCTGTCCACACCTGGCTGCGAAATTATGCTTGTGCATGGAAATCCCTGCTGGAGTACTGGGGTCCACAGACCAGACAATGAGGTAGGTCCTCAGCTTTACCTCACTCTATTGTCTTCTTCCTACAGCCCGTGGGTGCTGGCTGCCAGGTCTTCCAAAGCCAACCCAAGCTGGCTGCATGGCGCCAGCGAATAGAGGCTGCAGTGGGGAAGGACCTCTTCCAGGAAGCTCATGAGGTCATCCTGAAGGTCAAGAACACTCCCCCTGCAGACCCCACCATAAAGCAGAAGCTGATGCCTGGAGTGCTAGCCATGATCCAGTGAGCTTGGAGGCCCGCCCCCCCCCCCCCCCCCGCCCTGCACTGTGAACATGTTCAGAAAGCACCTTCATTTCCAGTGTGCTGTGGAAAGCAAGCCCAGAGAGCAAGAGTTACTTGCCCTGATCCCACTGCCAAGGCTCCATCACAGTCATGATAAGGACACAAACCCAGACCTTTAATCACTGCATTTTATTTTTTAAGTTTAGAGAATAAACCTAGGTTCAGACTTATTTTGTTTCTAGCTCTGTATAATTTATTCCCTTCCTCTGTCCTTGATCCTGGTCTTGGTCTCTATCTGAAAGACAACCCCCTTTCCCAGTGAGGGTTGGCTTCCTCCTGATGGTTGCTAAGAATGAAGTCACAAATGCCCTGTAGCCTTCTAGTTCCTGGGGAATGATTTGTCATACAGCATAGGGGTCTGTAGGCATCTCATGTGTTATTTACAGGCATGTTTACTGATCCATCAGTTGGACTGGCCAGTCTCCCAGGACATGGCCCTTTGGCATGTAGTATTGTTAATCACCAGTCCTGCATCTGTCCTGAGGAATTGGTCAGGAGGAGAAAATTCATGAGTACAGGCTTTCAGGGGCTTAAATGCAATGCTTAGGCACTTAGCTACAAACTGTAAACAGGAACAAAAGTCTCACATTGCATTTTAGAATAATATTCTGGTTGCCAGTGGGATTTGGATTGGAGGACAGCCAAGGAGGAAGCAGGGAGATTGGATGTTGCAATAATTAGGGCCAAAGGTGATTTGTGAAGAATTGGCAAGCAATGAGAGGCAGAGAAGAGTGGAGAACTGGCTCCTTTCAGTTTGGAGAGGGCTGCAGCACTAATATCTTAAGAAGACTTTCCTGGTCCCTGATGGGGGGATTGAGATAAGGGAGAAATAAATGTTTCTTAAATGGGGACTATTTGGAACCAGGAAGACAAAGATCTTCTTAAGCTTCCCAATAACTTATCCTCTTGCCAAGAGACATTCTCCTAATCTTGGATTTGGGATCGGGGTCTTCACATCTTGGAAGGCTCCCAAGGGAAATGGTAGTGCCATAATCATAGGCCTTAGGAGCTCCAGAACTGCAGTTGGAACTGGGCATGGTAGTGCACACCTGTAACTTCAGCTATCTAAGAGGATGAGGCCGTTTGGTCTCAAGTTTAAATCAGTCTGGGCAGCACAGAGCCTGTCTCAAAATTTTAAAATAAGAAAAAAGGGCTGGGGATGTAGCTCAGCGGAGGGAACCATGGTTTAGCATGGGTGAGGACTCAGATTCAATTCCCAGTACCAAAATCAAAACCAAGACAAAACAAAAACATGCAATTGGAAGAACTTGGCCTTGCAAAAGGGGTGGGGAAGTTCTGTACAATCCCAGGCACACCCGCTGACCTCTGGTTAGGCCTCACAGGGCTCTAGCTTCTTGGGGAGAGATTAGCGGGAGTGTAATGAAGACCACCCTAGGGACTGGAGAGGAATAAACTCATTCCTTCACAAAGTGTAGGGCTGGCCTCAGTAGAGAGCAAACAGCCCCCCCCCCCCCTTCTCCCCAGTCTCCATCCTGAGAGCTAGGCCCAGGCACGGGTGGGAGCGCTGCTGCACATCCCTTCTTTCTCTTTTTGGACCCCAAGCCACTCCTCTTCCGGAGGGTGGAGGGAGGAGGCTTGGGCTGACAGCAGACATCACAATCTTTCCATCCTAAATTCACTGAGGGTCTATGTTGGAAGTGTCCAAGGTAAGTCTATGATCACCTCTCTCTCTGCTCCATCTGACAAAGATGGATTTTGAGTCCAGGGATGGTATCTGACCTGGCAGCGAGACCCGAGGTGGTCAGTACCTAGACCCGCCTGTCTGAGACCTCTCCAACTGGGAAGAAATCGTTCAGCCCAGATTCTCTGAGCGGGGGTGGAGGGGCAAGACAGTGGGGACTCCACTGATTGGCCCTAAGTTTCTTGAGCCATCCAATGAGCGGGGAGGGCGTGGTCGGGCCAGGTTCCCAGTTGGTTGAGCTCTGTGGAGTAGGTGTTCAGCCATTCCTGCCCAAAGTTCCGGTTACGGCTCCTGTCCTTGGCCTCCTCGCCAGACCCGTATATCTGCACGCCACTTCCCCAGCCGACCCACTGCCGACCTCGCCATGGGCCTGGAACTCTATCTGGACCTGATGTCCCAGCCCTGCCGCGCTGTCTACATCTTCGCCAAGAAGAACGGCATCCCCTTCCAGCTGCGCACCGTGGAACTGCTCAAAGGTGGGCTGGGTAGGCAGGCTGGGGAGTATGGGCTGGGTGTGCAAGCGGTCCTCTCCCTGTAGGCATCGCTTCGTGGTCAGGTGTACAAACTAGAGGGAAGCCCAGCCTCTCCAGTGTGGAAGCCTTTGCATCAGTTGTCAATTGTGTATTTTTAAGAACCCTAATCTTTGCCTAGTGAATACAAGACATTCTTCAAAACATAGAATAAAAGGGAGAAGGCAGTCCTTGAATAGAAGAGGCAAGTGGAGAAAGAGCCAGACTATCCTCACCTCTAGGATTGGAGAAAAAGATCGAAATACCTCTTCGTTTCCAAGATGAAGTTGTCCCCATCTGTTACGTTTCTGCATCCTCCGGCAGGAGATGGCCCCCACTTGGAGGTCTTCTCTTTGCTCCTATCTACCCCATCTAGTTCTCTTCTACTTTCATGTCTTCCTTGCCATTCTTTGGCTTTTTTTTTTTTTTTTTTTCCTTGCTAATGACTTGCTCCTGTCCCTGGTGGTTTCCACCCACTGGCAGGGCTCTGAGGCCTGTGGCAGGACAGTAGGGAAGGCCAGCACTCTTACCTTAGAAGCAGTGTTGCTGGTCTGACTGACCGGGGAAAACAGCTGCAGCAGAATCTAGTAAAGGAGGCAAGAGTCAGCCCAGGTGAAGGCCCCTGCTCAGCTGAGCCCTCCCATTGGCCCAGCGTGAGCCAACTGCTATGGGACATAGTGTGGGTACAGGTAGTTTCTGGAGGTAGAGTGGGCAGGGAAATGTGTCCATTCAGTGTAAGGAAAAAGACGCCCATAGGTAAGTCTATGATCAGCTGAAGGCTGGCTTGGTGGAGGCCCCCTGACTCCATACATACTAACTGGGCACTTAATGTACCCTCCAGCATTAGCCTGGGCTTGGATATAGGGTCTGTGGAAGTGATTCAGACTTGGAAGCCCATTTTTTAAAATATTTTTTATTGTAGATGGACACAATACCTTTATTTAGCTTATTTATTTTTATATGGTTCTGAGGATCGAACCCAGGCATACATATGAGGCAAGCATTCTACCACTGAGCTACAACCCCAGCTTGGGAACCCATCTTGAGAAGGGAGTTTTGAGGGTTTGGCACGGGAAAGAAAGAAGTGCTGAGCTGTTAAAGGCTAAGTGGCTGAATGGGGTCCGTGTTCCTGGATGGACAGATGGGAATAAGAGTGGCTGAAGCTCTGGGATTGTGAACAGGTCACCCAGCCTGGTTTGAAGGGCTTGATCCCCCTCCTTTTCCCCAGGGTAGGAAGAGAAATCAGAAGGGAAAAAGTAGAGCTCAGAGAGGGGACTAGAGTGCCTGACATGGATGGAGCTGGCTGAGGTGTCAGGTGGATTATGCTTCTAGAATATCACCCTCTCCTGGGGCCCAAGTTGAAATTCTGCTTGGCCCAGGCTCCATTTGTGTGGGCACAGGGAAGGTGGAGTGATTTATGATCCAGAGACAAGCACAGTGTTCACCTCTTCCTCTATGCTCCCAAAAGCTGGTACCTGAATTTAGAGGTGGGGGCAGCCAGAGACTTCAGAAGACTTGGAGTTATCCACATTTACCTCACTGGTCTCTCCTGCAGGTCAGCACTACACTGATTCCTTTGGTCAGGTGAACCCCCTGAGGAAGGTGCCAGCCCTAAAGGACGGGGACTTCACATTAGCTGAAAGGTAATGGATCCCTGGCCTGTGGCCAAGCCTGTGGGGCCACTCAGCCAAGCCTGTCTATGTTCACTGTTAATGGCTGGGACCACAGCTTGTGTGTCCCAAATTCCCGTGGAGCTGCAGGGTATAGTGTGGGCAGAAGCAGACAGAGGTGTCCAGGGCTAGGAGGGGCTGTTAAATTATGGAACACCTGTTTGCCCCTGTATGATACAGATAAGAAAACAGATGGGAGAGGGCAGGGATTTCCACAAGATTGTAGGTCAAGACTGCTTTCAGGCCTCTTCCCTGCTAATCCATGCCTCAGAAAGAAGGAGAATGCTAAATGTGGAACAGTGTCAGCACTGGGTATCTCAAAGCAATCACTGCTTCCATATATCCTCAGGGTGAGTGATGTTTCCCTGGGAGATTAAGGAAACACCCAATGAGCTCAGTGGCTATTTACCAAGCATCCATCAGCATCAGGCACCATCCAGGCCCTGGCCTTGTACAGAGGACATGTCTAAGCCCTGTGGTGCTCACATTCTAGAGGAAACTGACAATCATGACATAAACAAGTGGGGGTTCTGTGGAGGAAATAGGTGAAGGTGCAGTTTTGAGTGGGTGGTCAAGGGAAGAACTGCTGAGGGGGTGGCATTTGAGCAGGAACTTGTTGCCTCAGATGCAAGGTATATATAGAGAGTGTTCTGGTTGGAGGGAAGAGCAAGGGAGAAAGTCATTAGGTGGGACCTTGCTTGGGGTGCAGGCTAAACAGCAGGGATTCGATATGGCTGTGTTGAGAAGGGCAGAGCAGGAAAGGGGAGGGCAGGGGAGGGAAAACCTGGGCTTTTCCCATAGGTGAATGGGACCATTGGAGGGTTTGAGCAGGGGTGTGCCACGACCTGCTCTGTTAATTTAGAAACTGGTGAGGGACTTTGGTTGAGAGATTAAGAAAAACACACAACATTTAGACAGAAAAGCGGGATCAGGTGGAAAACTGAACTCTGAACTCTGACTGAGAACAGTGACCTAGAGCTGGCTTCACTTTTTTTTTTTTTCGGTACTGGGGATTGAACTCAGGGGCATTTGACCACTGAGCCACATCCCCAGCCCTATTTCATATTTTATTTAGAGACAAGGTCTCACTGAGTTGCTTAGTATCTCGCTTTTGCTGAGGCTAGATTTGAACTTGCTTCCTCCTGCCTAAGCCTCCTGAGCCACTGGGCTTACAGGTGGTAACTCTGTACTTTTGCACAGAGGAATGTTAAAATCTGACATCTTAATTCACATCACCACTCCCTACAGAGGAGAGCTATGTTTCCTCTTATATGTGAAATGATCTCCCTGCCTGGGGTGAGAAGTCTACCAAGGAAATACAGGAATAAGGTGCTAGGCCCCAGGTCAACATGGTGGTGGTACACCATGGGCAATGATTGACTCTAAGTTCTCTTCAGAGTCAAATAACTGCATGATCTCTAGAAAGGCTGGACATGAGTGGGAAAGATGGGAAGCCAAGGTCAGCCCAAAGGGTTGGTGACTGAATGGTGGTGGTATCCTTTACCAAGGTCACAGAGTATCTTCTTGTTGAAGCCAGATTCATGCTCACAGCCACTTGGCTGCAGAGCCTGGGGCTCAGGCACAGTCCAACACCCAGGGAGGCACAATGAGCTCTGGGGGTCAGGTTGCACACACCAGACCCAGTAGGGAAACTGATGAGAGGAGGTGAGGAAGAGTTTCCTGGATGAAGGGGCTAAAAACTTTGAGCAGGTAGGGAAAGGGTGAGACTGGGTGGCAAGTAATGTCCTCATGTCACTTAGGAGAATTTTCCCAGTCTCAGGAGAATCGGGAGGGGCAGTACCCTTGGTGGCTCTGTCCATCCTTTGGATATGGTGGGGAATAGTATTCAAGTTGCTCTAATCCCTCAAGACTCACTGGGTACCCTTTCCTCCTGGAAGTCTTCTCTGAGTCCCTGGCTCCTTCCGAAATCCATGGCATTTTATTTCTCATTTGGCATCCTTTGTTCAGATGATGAGATGGCCCAGTGTAGAGCTGTGTGACCCTGGGCAGTCACTTGACCTCTCTAAGCCTCTCGTTCCTGCTCTGCATAATGTGGATAGTGAAAATGCCCCACCAAATGGCTGAAGAGTGACCAAGGCATGTCCTCTACCCCTGCCATATTCCCATAGTGTGGCCATCCTCTTGTATCTGAGTCGCAAGTACAAGGCCCCTGATCACTGGTACCCCCAAGACCTGCAGGCCAGAGCCCGGGTGGATGAGTACCTGTCCTGGCAACACACCACCCTGCGGAGTTGCTGCACCAGGGCCATGTGGCAGAAGGTGAGTCATGGGAGACAAGGACACCTCTCAGAATGTTTAGGTGATGGTGCTATTTAGAATCTCCACTCACAATTGAAGAGAGATCAGCAGAGTAAACGAAAAGGATCAGGGAGCAAGAAGAGGGGGGAAAGGGGAAATAATGGGGAAAGATATCGGACAAATTATTATATCTTGTGTATGAATGAACATGTAACAATGAATTCCACAATTATGTATATTTATAATGCATCAATAAAAATGTGAAAATAAATAAAAACTTTCATTCACATACAAGACCTTAGAACACCAAATTTTGGAATACCAGAGACTGCCAGTCACAGTGTTGATGAACATGGACTAACTACGTCCCAGGGTGTTCATACGTATTACTTGAGAATTCTGGAGTTAGAGATGGGGGGGGATTTGGTCAGACGACTGTTGCACTGGGGAGGGCTCTGTGTTGAGGAGCCATGTAAAGCTTTATGGAGGAACATCTTGGGGAGGAAAAAAAATAAACTGTGGGACTGGTATTGAATGGGATAAGGGCAGGACAAAGGATGGGCATTAAGTGAAGCCTGACCTTCTCTCTGCCTGCGGGCCCACCCAGATGTTGTTCCCTATGTTCCTGGGCCAGCCAGTGCCTCCTGAGACACTGGCAGCCACTTTGGCTGAGCTGGATAGATGCCTGCAGCTGCTTGAGGACAAGTTCCTGCGAAACCAGGCCTTCCTTACTGGGTCCCATATCTCTGTGGCTGACTTGGTGGCCATCACAGAGCTGATGCATGTGAGTTCCATGGGGTAGGGTGAATAGTGAGAATTCCTGTGGGGAGCTAATGTCTCCACTTATATTTCCTACCCTGGAGGAATCACTTCACCCTCTAAGCATCAATCTCCTCATTTGTAAAATGAATCTTCATAAGCCCTCACTGCAGGGATGTTGGGGGACTTCCCAGTGTGCCCTGGGAGGGGGACCCCCAATTTCTCACACACAGTGAAGGAGGGAAAATTCAATCTGAGAGCCCTAAAGCAGTCATGCTGCCTTGTGCTTGGTTATACACAGCCCCCTACCCACTTTCTCCTCCCCATAGCCTGTCAGTGCTGGCTGCCAAGTCTTTGAATGCCGACCCAAGTTGGCTGCATGGCGCCAGCGTGTGGAGTCTGCAGTAGGAGAGGACCTCTTCCAGGAAGCCCATGCAGTTATCCTGAAGGCCAAGGACATTCCTCCAGCAGACCCCGCCTTGAAGGAGAAACTGAGGCAGTCATTGAAGGGTTTGTTGCAGTGAGTGAGTGGCCCTGGCCAGTAAAATTACCAAGGGAAATGCTGGGTTGTCAGAATAAAGAGATGAAGCTGCTTATTTCCTTTGCTGTAAGCAGGACATGTCCACACAGTCTGTTCACAGTTCTGTCCAAGTATCAGGTTTGTATTCCTTTTGTGTCTCCATGCCACTTTTATTAGGCTTCTACCTGACCTTTGGAGAGAGCTTTAGTAAACACATAAATGGCCTTATCCCTCTTCTTTGGAAACTTTCCATGTATCCCCACTTCCTTGAAGTTAAAGTATAAGTCATTGCACGTGGCATTAAAGATCTTGCTCTCCTACCCCTATAAGCCTCCCTGCCTCCTAACTGCATTCATTTCAGACCCCTGTCCTAGTCCTACCTTGGCCTCCTATCTTTGGCTCATGCTGTTCCCTCCTCACCTTCTCTGCCAGATACTACTCCTGTTCTTTGGCATTTGGCACCATGTTGCTTCTCCAGGGAGACATCCCTCACCTCTCCATCCCCAGGGAAGAACAGCTGACTTTATGGGATCCTCAGCTCCAATGTTTCCCTCCTTCAGTCCTGGCAGAGAGCAAGCTCCATGGCCCCTGGGCTTAGCACATGTCATAGATGTCGGGTGACCCTGTGCAGAAGTCTGATCTGGAATGGCCTTGGTCTACTAAGTCTCTCTCCCTCTGTAGGAGACAGGCAGGGTACAAGGCTGTTTCATGAACCTCTTTGCAGAGAGGGCAGTCCCTCGTTAGGAAAGCCCTGTTTCTGGCCCCAATAGCCTTGTTCCCCCATACCTATTCCTGATCCCAACCACTATCTTCTCTATGCCCAACTCTAGCTCCCAAACTTACCACGGTTTAAGTCTGCATCACAGCCTGCTTGTTCTTATAACACAGACCCTCTGATAGCTGAGTCATTGTATAAATAAACTGCTAACAGAATTAGCAGGGTAATGACAATCTCTTAGCCCACATGTCTTCCTACGAAGACCACTTTGATATGCACTCTTAGAATTTCTTATGTGTGATTGAACAGATTGTCTTGTTTTAAACAACTTTTGCCACCACTAGCACAAGAGGCAACAAAGGAGGAGATGCCCTTGCCCAAGGGTCTTTCACAGTCTCAAATGCACCTGCACTTGCCACTACAGGGTCTTGATTTAACATCTGAGCAGCCATCTTAAATATTAACCACCATCTAATAAGTTTCGCTTTCCTGTATTTCCTCTTACCCGAACTCCCCCTACCCCCATTATTGACCTACCACGTTATACCATAACTCTAAGCCAATCCCAGAAGGACACCATCCCTTGACTCTGGAACTGCTCTTGGTGCCATTGACCTAAGCCATGCTATTCCCCACCCACCTAGCTCTGATGCAGGCACCTGAGTCTATCCCTTAGGGCCATAACTACAATCCAAACCCCTACCCCACAAAAGCTGAACACCCAACTATCTCGGGTGCCTCTCTCCACTCTATAGAGGGATGGCCTTTATTTGTCAGCTTTGACAAATAAACCTTTGTGTGGATATCTACCTCGTCTCTGTCCTTCATTTCTCGCTCTCCTGCCTCTTGCTTGCTCACTTTCCTTTCAGTTACCGGGATTCCAAACTGAGAGAAGGGCAAATTCCCATATTGAAGGTGAATTCTTTGACTATGAAATGGTGGCAAATCGTTTAAAAATAAAAACAAAAGTTAAACCTGTGTGTGGCAATGGTTATTAGGGTCGAGTGAACCTATAAAGGCCCCTACAGACCTGTTTGTATTGGGAGTATTCAGACCTGCACATTAGTGAAGCCAGAATTAGACATGCAGTCAGCATAGATAGGTAAATCAAGTCACGTCAGATCAAGGAGGCCAATTTTGAGTGAGTCCGGGAAGTTGGACTCACAGTCCCCTGAAGGACTGAATGTTAATTCCTTCAGAGCTCTCCCTCTGCCCTTATCAAGAACTTGCCCCTGCCTCCAGCCTGTTGCCAGTGTAACCTGTCCCAGGAATTGCCCCTCCCTATAGGGAGCCACAGGTTATTAATTAATGTGTCCTTGGCTGCTTCATCCTGCCCTTCTCCCTTCAGCCCAACTGTTTCCCACTTTTTGGCCCTCCCACCAGCATTCCCGGGCCTAGTCACCCATGCAGGAAGGAGAAGGGGAAGAGGGCAGGAGAACAGAGGAAGCCTAAGACATAAAAAGGGCAGAACACCTCACCTATTAGGATACCAGCTATGGCCCCACTTTTCCCTCCCTGAAAAAGTCTGTGTTACCCCTTCTTAAAATAAACCCTGCTCTATATGCTACTGTGAGGAAGCAGAACTTGTCACTGATAACCAGCAGTATCATCATAAGCATGGATTAGGAATAGTTTAGCGCAACAACTCAAAGTCAGGAAAGAGAAAATCACGACAGGCCGCCGCGCCCCGCCCCCCAGGAGTGGGCAGGCCGAGAGTGGCCAGCCTCCAGTTCAAGGTGGGATTACACCTAATTTACTGGGAGGTAGAACTACAGGAAATTTGGTGCCCAGCTAATGTGACTGAAGGGATGGGGTGGAACTCTGGAAGCCAATCGGAGAGCACTGGCTCTGCCCAGCCAATGAGGAGCTTGGTTACTGCGGCGCTCCGCCCCCTCTCCGTATTCAGCTACTGGAAACCGGAGCTGGACTCTGCGTTCTTCGCTGTAGTCCCTCTCGCTGTCCACCGATATGCCGTTCATTGAGCTGGACACCAACTTGCCTGCCAACCGCGTGCCTGCTGGGCTGGAGAAGAGGCTCTGCGCGGCCACCGCCGCTATCCTGGGCAAACCCGAAGACGTGAGCAAGGGTCGGGTTTCCCTGGGAGCTTGGGAGCTAGGGGTCGGGCCCAGTCCATTTTCTGCCTCTCCACAGGGACATCCCCCCCATACACCAATCTTCTCCCCTGGGACTTTCATAGGCCGGCCAACCTTTGACCTTTCGTGCCCCTGACGAACCCGCAGCCCTCTTTCCCCGGTCTGCCCTTGTCGCATGTTCCCTGCCTGACCTTCGAGGGCCCATCCCGGTGTCTTGACCCCTCAGACCCTTTGAGTCCTGGCTCTCACGCGGTCCCATGCCTAACGCCAGCCCCACCGGCCCTACACTCAGGTGAAACTTTTGTATCCCTCGCAGCGTGTGAGCGTTACTGTGCGACCGGGTCTGACCATGGCACTGGGCGGAACCACAGAGCCCTGTGTCCAGCTGGTGGTCTCCTCTATTGGCGTCGTGGGGACTGCAGAGGATAACCGTGGCCACAGCGCCCAATTCTTTGAGTTCCTCACTAAGGAGCTGGCCTTGGACCAGGACCGGTGCGTAGCAGTAGTGAGGATCCCTTTGGTAGTGATGTGCAACCAGAAATAGTGATCTTGTTTCAGGATCCTGAGATTGAGGGAAAGAACTTTGGCCTAGATGTCTAGGCCCAATTCTGGGTCCCTCACAGGTGGGGGACCCAAGAGAAAACTAGAAATGAACCATCTCTACTTTCTAGCCTCCTCTTCTGTGAGCAGAGAGAGGAAGGTTAAACGACCTCTCTTCCCCCAAACCTGGAACACTGTGTTAAGGTTAAGATTTCCTGCTGAGTGAAAAATATTCCCGAGCCAAGCCTATGTCTGTGAGGAACTAAGGGCATGAGAAACTTAAAAGGACCTTCCAAATGAAGCCCTTGTTGACTCAGGGAGGCTGGTGAGGAACAGTTTCTCCTGGTGGGTGTTCAGATTCTTAGACTGGGGAGAGAGAATAACTCTAACAATAAATTATGCATTAATGCCTACAGTGTGCCAGGAACTCAGCACACATGATCCCATTTGATCTGTTCAAGCCCTGACCCCTTAGTGAAGACCTGCCATCCCATGAGACAGATGACTGCATTTTGCTGACTTGGCAGATGGGGAAAGTGAGGCTGTCATCTGCTGCCAACCACCCATCCCCTGCCAACCTGTCTCCATCCCTGGTGCTCTTCACCAAGAATTTTCTGTTATCTCTGTGAAAAGGGCACATTCAGTTATTCTACAGACTTTATGGTCACCCTGTGCCTGACCCTGAGTCAGACTTTGAGAAAAGAGAAGTGCCTGATGCCTTGAGCATACCCCATGCAGCCTGCATCTAGGAGGGAAGACTGTCCCTCTGAGCCCACAAACTGGTAGACTCAAATGAGCACATAGCATACCCACTGAGGCCATGGTTTGTGTCTCTCTTGGGTGGGCCATGCTGATGTGCAGCCATCATCTTGTACTTGATAGTCCCATTATCCTGTTTGGGACCAGGAGAAGATCATTAACTTGGATGAGCAGGCTGGTAAATAATTCATGGGCTGATGAGGGAGCACCTGGTAGGTGTCTTGCAAAGTGAATTTTTTTGAAGGAGCTGACATCCTTTCTCTGTTTCCCAAAGGATAATTATCCGCTTTTGCCCCTTGGAACCCTGGCAGATTGGAAAGAAAGGGACCGTCATGACATTTTTATGATTGGCACAAAGGATCCAGGGCATCTGTGAGTTGGCTGCCCCTTCCGGAGTATACTCTTGGCAGAGTCAAGGCCTAGTGGATGTCACCTTTGGGAACCCTTGTGCAGATTTGTCTATGACCTCATAGTTTTTTTCTCCCATATCCTCTTGCCAAATAAACAAGGAGCTCTTCAGCATTCAAACATGAGTTCTTTACTTCCCTACTCCACTCCCCAGCATCCTGGTCCATTATGGACAGAGTGTAGGTTTATAAAGAGGGGACCCTAGGAAACATGGATGTGGGATGTTTCCTATCTTCAGGGCTGCTGTTTGATATATTTACAGTGCTAAAATATGTGGGTGGGTCACCCAGCCTGGAGGTTCTGCTCTCTACACCCATGTGCAAAGGGTGGGAACATGGGGGAAGCTGTTCTGGCCTGGAACTTTCTGTACTCTGCTGATATCCTGAGAATCATGACCTCAGTCTGGGTTGACCTGGACCCTTACTTGTCTTTAGTTTGCTGTGCTAACCAAAAGAATAGGGTTAGCTTCATTTCAGGGAACTTTCTTGGACCTCAATCTGCACCTTGATTCTTGCTGAGAATTCTCTGGAGCGGTTCACTTCATATAACCTATGCCAAACATGGGACATACAACGTCCACCAGCATGCCAGCTGTATAAATGCTGTGTCTGCAAGTATAAACTGGATGAATGTCATCCCTGCTCCCCATCTAAATACCAGATCATGACTTTATGTTTCAAAGTGTATACAGGTTGAGTGAGAGGAGTACAAAGGAAGTCTCCATCTCTAGCTTTCCAGTGTTCCATGCAGAGTTTACAGTTCATGACCCTTAGATACTAATTAGCACAGTTGGA